TCCAAAAAACTTATTTAACCAAATAGTGATATGAACAACAAGTCATGAAATTCTGAAACGATTTCAAGTTTGAGGAGCAAAACCTATTAAAGGGGAAAGAAACGGAATAGTGAAGTTGGCGGTGACAGAATAAGCTTGGAAAATAAGTATAATCGCAAGAAAAGCAGCGTAGTCAACCGTAGCCATGCTGAAGTCACTGAAGAAAATAAAGCGAAGGGGAAGAAGGGAAAAAGAAGAGGGTGATATGGGTAGGTTAGGTATTTTTTGCGACGTGCTAGCGTGCAATTAATTAAAGAGCTTGGAAATTTTCAAACGGATTTGTTTTCATTTAGGAATTATGGGAGTTGTTGGCAGTTAAGAGAGAGACTTTCGGTTTCTGATCAAATAATCAAAGCCCAACTTTATCGAACATTTATGATTTACCAGCTGCCAACTCTCCTATAATATGGTCCCTAATATTATTTAATCGTAAATTTTCAAAGTAACCAAAGTTTTTATTTTGTATTTAATCATGGTCTCGTTATGTCATTTATATCTCCACTAGAAATAATAGTATTTTATTTGATCATAAAAAGTTAATTTAATTAAATTATTTATTTTGTATTTTCTTGACTGTTTGAGATTGTATGTTGTCGACTCATTGTGTTATTTATATCCACCCTAGAAAAAAAAATTATTAGAATTTTAATATTAATAATTAGTCAATAATTATTTATCATCAAACGATTTTTTGGCCCGGAAAAATTTTGCAATAGAGGCCACGAGGTAGATAATTATAATTTTATAGTGGTGTGCTTTACACCAAATAACAATTCTAATGAAAATTTGAATATCGATCACCTGTAAAGCGTCGGGAGGAATTCCGACATAAAAGCTTTTACGCTCTAGTTAGATGGATGTTGACAAATATTATAATAATTCAAGAGTGATTAGGGTTATCTCATTCTTAGTGCTGATATTTATAAATTTTTTCCACACCTTTTCTGTTTAAGATCCCATGATATCTTTCGTACATGTTTGTCCTTCAACACAAAAAGAAAAGTTGGCTTCTGATTATAAAAGAATGGATTGGAGGATAAATTCCTCGAATATCGATCTTTCTATATATATGGATAAGGTAAAGATCGCCTTTACATATATCACCCTCTAAAAATTGTTAGGTCGTCCTGCTATTCTCTTTAACTTTGTTAGGTCGTGCCACTTGTCCTAAACTCATAGAGGTCGCATCTTCAAAATCAACCACTGTTCATCCTTATTGTGGCCGGGCTACAAGAGGTGGAGCCCACCAATTCAAAGCTATATCACCTAGACAGGTTATCTATACCACACGCCAATTTGACTTCTTCGATTTAGCGAATTATTGAACAGATCTGACAATCCAAACTTACTTTAATATTCTCAAAGCTTAAAAATGGATAGTTTTCAGCTCCATAACCAAGATCGTTGCGAGGATTTGCGAGTAGGGATTTAAATTACGCAAAAGAATACCAAAAAATGGACTTATGGGTGCTACTTTGAGCTCATTTTGCTTCACTTATTTAATAAATTAATCATACCTTAGCTCAACATACAAGCAATATGCCACCTTTATGAACCACCATCTAAGATTTGCAAAGTGCCAAGAGAGATTCCTAGTGTAAGCACTCCAAGACTCAACTTAGTTTACAAATTACAGAGTTTTGTTATCATGCAATAGGATTTTCAAACCTAATAATAAACTATATATATATATATATATAGAATCACATATAATACAATTTTGAAGTTATCTAGGCTACGAAGATCTTTCAGATATTGGTAAGATCCTTATGATAATCCGTATAATCTCCCCCTTGTTTGGGGAAGACATAATACCATATAATTTGCTATTTAGATAACCATTTAGGTAAATTCTCCATACCCCTTCGTTGCGCTCCAACATAGCTCGAATATAGTCAGATCATCCGAGGACCTTAACTCTTAGTTCACATTGTTAGTGACCGCGCGTCGCAACGCGGAAGATTAGAATTTATAATTTTCCTCAACTAACCTCCACTAACTAGTAGTAGCGACGAGTAAGGGTTGAAATTACGAAGAGTGTGAGTCAAAATGTGAATTTTAAAACCAATAAAAGATGGGAGGTTTTGATTTTATAACTAAGATCCTAATTAAATAAATAAGAAACCAAACAAATAAAATAAAAACAAAATAAAATAAATTAAGAAAATTTTCTAGTTCACGGTTCCGTCTACACCCTCGCTCAACTAGTCTAACAAATTGTGACATCAAGTTTCACTATCTTGTGAAATTTCTAACCCTAGATAGCAACACGCTCTGCTAACCGAATTTTTTCTTAATGTTAATTTAACAGAGAGGCGCTCTACGATTACTTATTGGATAGTCTAGAACACGCTCTCTAGATTTAATGCAATAGTCGCTTTAGAATCTAGAAAAATATGCTAGTCTAAGTAGTAAACACAACCGCGCGGTTCACTTAATTAGGCAGTGTTATCCCCGACAGTTACCAGCTTTCAGTTACTGCTTATAATTAAACAAAACAACATTTATGGATTGCAAGTTCAATTCTAGCATTAGAATTGAAAAATCTTATCTAGGTGATCAATCTAAATAAAAACAAACACATCATGGTTGATCAATCAAAATAACACAAACAATTTCATAGAAATAGCAAAATAATCAATCAATGTAATTAATCAAGCATAGTCAAGTACGTAGGGTTTGACGTCCCCAAAATTAGAAATAAAAACTAGCCTTACATAATTAATAAAAGAAAAAGAAAAGAATAAAACTATCATTTCTCCTGTGTCGGTGCAGTCTCCCTCTGCATCCGGTTAGCTTCTCCCGTCTGTCCGAGGGCTCTTTTCTCCCAAATAATTCTTGTTGCTGCTTCTCTTTTCTCTCCAATAGTTGGTTGCATATGTATCCTTAGGGCCTGCTTAATTAATTGCTCCCAAAAGTCTCCTTTTACTAATTTTGTCATCTGTTTCCTTTTATTAATGTGTGCACTCAGTTAATTAACTCGAAGTCAGCCCATGTCTCCTTGAAATTAGCCTCATTCATTCTTTGAGCCTACTTCAATTCCAGTATATCAACAATTTAACTTGTGGGCCAGAACTACTTATGAAATATCCTGCCGACATATTCAGTGATTAGAACTTTTAAATTGGGCCTTAATTAAGTTGGTATTGGGCTTGTACGAGGTGCCTCCGTATTGCTTTCGGATGAAATTTCGTTTAATGTCACGACTCCCACGAAAATACTCCAATAACATAAAAGTAAAACATAAAAAAGACAAAGAACTAGAATCCATGCAAAGACATAAATAAGCCAAAATTTATATAAGTGCGATAAAATTAAGCATATAAAAATATGACAATAAATATATAAAATACACTTTTCTCGACCAATCAAATACCCTCAAACTTAAAATGTTGTTTGTCCTAAAGCAACTTAAAACTAAATGCACATAGGTGGACATAACCAAGTACATGAAATATTTGTTCACAATCTCACACATCTCACATAAATACATAGTTCAAACAACTCAAATTAATTTATTTGGACTCAAGACAAACTTATTCTAAGAACACAAGCATATCAAATATCAATTCAATTGACCACCATAGTTTGTTAATCTCTATAACGAATGTATTGATAAATGAAGCTAATGACACCCATCTCTTTGCTAACAAGTCTAGTCCATTTCCGTTTCTAGCCGAAGTCTAAATGTCTCATTCTCCAATTTTTCTTTCTTTTTTTTTCTCCATTTTTTTTTCTTTGTTCTTGAAGTAGGGATCGACAGCTCCATCACAACCCGTGATTTTTAGTCTTTCGTGCTCGTCTAGATACGAAAATTATTGGATATATGCACTAAAGTCCTCACGGATTGGCAGCTGTTACAACCCCTAACTTCTTTTTTTTTTTTTGCCAAATTGGCTTTTTGACTCAACGCCAATTATTCTTCCATCCTTATTTTTTCATTTTTTCGACTATGAGACATAGTTAACCCAACTTTCAACTTCAAGACCTCAAACATATCAACATTGATTAAGACAATCATCAGCACATCTCAACAATACAAATCACCTCAAAACCAACTCACCATGAATGAATCATAAAAATATCAATCGTCATGCATTTGTCCCCAAAATAAAAACACCTCAAAAATTTAACCGAATATAATTAACTCAAGCCATTTAAACTAGCACAATAAATCCAAACCAACTCTCATGTCATCATCGCAAAATTCCACATACATGCAATCTCACGCTCACACACGACAAGAAAATATCATGCAATTTTATCTAAGAACTCAAACTGTAAGTAACAAAAATAAAATTACATAATAAACATGAATACTCACAAAGAAACCATCTCCCCAAACTCAGAATTTGCATATAACTCATTTAATATCTTTGTCCCGTGCATCGCACGGGGTATATACTAGTTTTGACTAAAAAACGTATGTTTTTTTTTGCTTTGTAACGTTTGTAGAGTTATCATCAATTTTCAATTAATTACTAAATTCCTCAATCTGACGTGGTCTAACACTTGCTGTAAACTTCTTCTGCTCACGCAATTTCTTCTGCTTTGATGTGTGATGTTTCCATATCCTGAAATAACCCAAATAAGGACAATATCCAAAATACACAAAATCTGAAAACCTACCATTATATTAAGTCTGGCTTCTTCAACTGCTATTTTATAATATATTTGTTTACCTGAGAAGTGTCTGTTCATCCTTCTATGTCCTCAGTGAACAAGGTTGTGTTATTGCTATTAACAAAAGAATCGTCTGTTATAATATTCAACATTAAAACACTAAGCAATTACGTTGCAGATATTAAAGGATTTGTTATAATTACCAAAAAAAAAAAAAAAAAAAAAAATTCTAAGTTATTGACAAAAAATAAACGCTCAAAGTGCTATATGAAAATTCTCTCTCATGGGAGCCTGATTTGCACAATATTACCATGATTCAGTAAGACGATTTACAAATGTGAGGCGCTTTTAAAAATCGATGCCACAAAAAACCAACTTTCAGATGTTCTCCAAGTGTTTTGGAGACAATAGCCAACTTTTTCGGCGATTTTGTGTTAAGAATCGATAAGAAAAATAATAAACAAAATAAAAAAAAAAACATTCTGAAACTTTTATTCGTCACGGAGTGCGCTAATTGTAGTACG